AATAAAGTATGATTCGACAACGCTCGCAAAAATTCATTCACGTCGAAAATGACCTGACTCATCATCCCACCATCCCACAGTTCCCACTGGGCAGCTGCACGAATGAGTGCCATATAATGCCCGGGTCTATGTAAAATACAGGCAAAAATATGAGGATGGTTATTGAGGTCATCGCCTGGCGTCGCATGATGCATAAGAAGGTGGCGACCGTGAAACGCTAACTGTACGACATATATATATATATATATATATATATATATATACCAGGTACTGACCTGCGAAAGGTGGTGCCTTGATGCAGGTGCGGACGTGCTGAAGACAAGCTGGAGCAATGGCCACACAGGTAAGTCTCAGGTAAGTCCCCTGGCTGTCATCACCATCTCCCCTCCCTGCGCTACTCTACTCTATCAGTGCCCAGCGCTGGAAGACTAGTCCTATCGTCGACTACTGCTGCACTGCTGTCGTCCGAAGTATGCCTCACCTTGATCCTCTACTGAATGCCCGAACTGAGGCTGGACCCAGCTATATATAGCGTTGGGTCGGCCTCAGTGGCTGAGTCCTGGCGCCCAAACTGAGGCTGGGCCTCGAAAGTTTGGCGCCCAAACTGAGGCTGGGCCTCGAAAGTTTGGTGCCCAAACTGAGGCTGGGCCTCCAGCGCCTACCGAAACGGTGCGGCCTCAAAGTCAGGTCCTTGGCGCCAAAACGCACACCTGGTGCAGCCTCTACGGACCCCTAGCCTACCTGGTCGGGCCCTGCTTGGGCCCGTGTGGAGCTGAGTATGCCACATGTACCCTCCCCACTACCGGTCCCGCTCATCAGCTAGAGCAGCTCACTGTCTGCACAAGCGCCCTCACTGGGGCCTACCACAGCATGTGTCTGACCGAGTTGAAAAATAATTAAAAATAAATTAACCTTCAGTAAGTCACTCAAGGTACCAATCAAGTGGTGTCAACAACAGATACACAAACTGAGCAAATGATCTACTCCCACTTCGATCAGTTCTCAAACATCAGCAGTAAACAGAACTGGCAACGGTAGACTACTACAGTTCTAGTCTTCGGCTGTCTGTCAGGTGTTAGCAGTTGGTCGCACCTCAACTAATAAAAAATAAAAAATAATTTAAATAAATAACTTGCGCAAATGTATGCAGAAATGGAAATAATAATGATTGTATTCGAGCACCAATTCGAAACAGTTTCACCTTTGGCAGTAGCCGATGCAGATCCCAGGGGTCGATCCCTTGACCTCAGCTTACCTGTGTACAGTATCTGCACAGTTCCCTGGAGTTGAACCCGTGACCTGCACGATAGCC